AGGCTACACTGGAGGAGTGGGTTGGGACCAGGTCCTGATGGATGTGGGAGGTGGGAGAGAATGGAGGAAAGAAGAGGCACACTCATTTGGGCTTTTTGGAAAGGCTTTTAAGAAGTGTGGGCAGGGGACTTCCCTGGTAGTCCAACAGTTAAGAAGCCACCTTGCAATGCAAGGGACATAGGTTCGATCCCTGGTCTGGGAAGACCCTTCATGCCACAGAGCAACTAAGCCTGTGCACCACAACTGTTGCACCCACACTGTCTAGACCCCACACTCTGCAACAAGAGAAGTCACCGCAACTAGAGAGTAACCTCCTCTCACTCCAGCTAGAGAAAGCCTGCGTGCAGGGATGAAGACCCAGCGCAGTGAAAAATAAATAAATAAACAAATAAATAAAAAGAAGTGTGGGCAGACTGAAAGGAATCGTCAACAAGGAAAGACACCTGGGGACCAGCATCCCCATGTAGCCTGCGGGTCACAGAGAGAAGATGGCATTTCCAGAATCTGGCTATGCACTGGAACCCAGGAAGAGACAGTGGCCATATGTGGAATGCTAAGAAGTACTAGGACAGGAAGAAATGAGAGAGTAGGTAGGTCTTCCCTGGTAGCTCAGCTGCTAAAGAATCCTGCTGCAATGAAGGAAAGTGTGGTTCAATTCCTGGGTCGGGAAGTTCCCCTGTAGGGAATTTCCTTCTATCCCTGTAGAAAGGATAGGCTACCTCCTCCAGTATTCTTGGGCTTCCTTGGCAGCTCAGAGAGTAAAGAATCTGCCTTCAATGCAGGAGACCTGGGTTGGATCCCTGGGTTGGGAGATCCCCTGGAGGAGGGCATGGCAACCCACTCCAGGATTCTTGCCTGGAGAATCCCCACAGACAGAGGAGCCTGGCAGTCTGTGGTCAATGGGGTTGCAAAGAGTTGGACACAACTAAGCACAGCTCAGGGACTTGTTAGTCATCTAACAACAATTGTAATGTGTAAAATATTTTTCTTAATAATTGGATTTGAGAAATATCAGACAGTAATAGCTTAATTATGGACGTTTGTAAAAAAAAAAATAAGTAAATAAAAAGACAACCACTGGCTAATAAGAAGCCAGATGATTCTCTGTGGGGCCTGCAGAGGGTCTCCCCTGCCTCTCTGGGCACCTGAGCTGTTGAGACACTGATGGTGGCCGTGCCTGTCACCCACTGGTGGCAGCGGGACTCAGCGGGTTGGGCTTGCCGGGCACTGTGCTGCCCTGCGTGCTGCTTACTTGGGGGGCTTCCCTGCCAGCGTTTCGGGGGAGACGGAGGAGGCCTGGTGACCAAGGGCAAGGAGTGGGGAGTGCTGCCACGGGTGCTGGGGGGAGTGGAGGACAGCTGAATGCAATCTTTTTATGCCTCTCAGCCCCCCAGTACATCAAATCCTAACACTGATCCTTCATCACAAAAGTTAAACAGACTTAGCCAACTCAATTTCCTGTGATAATGAGCATCAGAAATCACATGGATTAATGAACCACAAATGATCCCCTTCAGAATAATTTTATTTCTAATTTCTTAACCCTCCTGATACAAGGCCTTGGAACGAGTGACGGCCAGAATTAAGGCAGGCTGCCCACTCTCCCCATCCTGGGCAGAGCTACAGCGGAAGATAGCAACGGCCACTAACCGTAGAACCAGCGCTTCCACAGAGCAAGGTAGATGTGAGGACATTTCATTGTCTTCTGCATCCTTGATCGTCATTAAGGATGTGCCACTTCTCAGCTAAAGGTACAGACTGAAGAAAAAAGGTAGGAAAAAAAAGTCTTAAAGGTACAGCCCTTTGCCTCAGCTTTATGCTACTGAATCCCCCACATTCCTGTCTTGCACTCTTTTTATTTATTTAAAATACGTTTCTACTTCTTATTTTTGGCTGCATCAAGTCTAAGCTGCAGCACTCAGGCTCTTCATCACAGTAACAGGGGCTTAGTTGTCCGGTGGCATGTGGCTCTCAGTTCCCCGACCAGGAATTGAACCGGCATCCCCTGCTTTGGAAGGTGGACTCTTCACCACTGGACCACCAGGAAAGTCCCTGTGTTGCATTCTTGATTCTTCCTCCCTTCTCTATCTTCTGAAGGACTGGCTGATTTGTAAGCATGCAGACACTAACTGAATGACTGAACACCCTAGATCTATTCTGAGACTGACACCAATTAGATGTAGCTAACACAGCCAACAGGTATTAAGGGGGTCCTCAAAGAATTCGCCTGCCGATGCAGGAGATGCCGGTTCGATCCCTGGGTTGGGAAGATCCCCTGAAGGAGAAAATGGAAACCCACTCCAGTAATCTTGCCTGGAGAATCCAATGGACAGAGGAGCCTGGTGGGCTACAGTCCATGGGGTTGCAGAGAGTCAGACATGATTGAAGTGATTTAGCACACAGCATGAGAAGCAGTATATCTGAAAGAAGAAAAAGAGAGAAGAAAAAGACAAAAGACAGAAAAGCAGAGGGTGAGGTCTTGCTCATGTGCTACTGTCCACGTCCATGTCTGTCTGTACGAGAACAGGAGATGCAAATCTGACAGGGGTTTTCTCTTTAAAAATGACAGGGATGTTTGACTTTTGGTAGCAAAGTAAATACAGGTGGCAATGTTGTATCTACATGGTCACCCAAAAGATAAATGAATGAAAGGGCTAATGCAGAAATAAATGTATAACTGTCAAAAAGAACTGATAAAAATGAATAATCATATTCATAGAAATAATTAAGTCTATCTAGTGAGTGACTGAAAACAGAGCCAGGACTTTTGAGCAGACTCAGGATTTTAGGCCTGAGTCTCAGCTCTACACCCACCAACTACTTGACCTTGGACAAGCTACCCCACCTCTAGAGCTTCAGTTTCCAAATCTTTAAAATGGGGGTAATTATACCTGCTTCCAAGATTTTTGTGAGGATGAAAGAAGATACTTAGGACAGGGTTTGGCATAGACCAAGTGTTCCATAAATATTACCAAACTCTATACAGGATAGCCTATAGTTACACATCAAATACCAAAGCAAAACTCTGAAGGAGGAAACTTGCTGGAAGAGTCTTGAACTTCTTTGGTAAGACATTTCATGCTTTATAGACTGTATCATGTTATTTGCTGCTTGTATTGATTGTAAACAACCTATTGCACTCAGTTTAACCTTTAAATTTTAATAACTTTTAAAAATTAATTGGAGTATAGTTGCTTTATAATGTGTTAGTTTCTGTGGTGCTGCAAAATAAATCAGCTATGCATATATATATATATGCATATATATAATATATATATAAAATCTCCCCTTTTTTAGATTTCCTTCCCATTTAATTCACCACAGAGCAGTGGTCCCTGTGCTATACAGTATGTTCTCATTGGTTATCTGTTTTATACCTCGTATCAATAGTGTATGTCAATCCCAGTCCCCCAGTTCTTCCAGCCACCTCTTTCCCCTTGGCCCCCATACATTTGGTCTCCATGCCTCTGTCTCTGTGTCTGCTTTGCAAATAAGATCGTCTATACTATTTTTCTAGATTCCACATATATGCATTAACATATATTTGTTTTCTTCTTTTCTAACTTACTACAATCTGTATGACAATCTCTAGTAAAATTTAGTAACTTTTAAGTTCATATAATTATAAAAATCAACAATTTAAATGCTAGAAGTTTAAATTATCAAATGTAAATTTGCTTCACTGACAGTCATCCACACAGTTATTCATGTTTCACTTCTGGAGAAGCTAGAGTCTTTATGCTGATGATTTTTGCTTTTTCATTTCTTTATTACGATGGGTGAGGGTGAGGAGCCTACAATAATTGTCATTTGAGGAAGCTGCAACAATGTTTAAATATCTTGCTTGTATTTCTTCCTTTCTCAATATTTCTTCCCTTTTCCATAAGAAAAGGGGGGGCAATATCAAATTAATATAATTTTGAGGAAAGTTTGTAAACTAAATTTATTTCACATCAAATCTGGTTTAGTGGAAATCCCTCTATTAAGGAATGAGGTCATGTCTCTTGCAATGAATCATGTCCATTAAATTTATCTTCTTTTCTGGATACTTTCCTTCCTTCATTTTGTCATTTCCAAGTCTCTAATTCTTGTTGATTGCTCAATTAAATGGAAGAACTGACTTTTATTTTTTTAGTTTTCAAGAGGGCATGAAACTGAAGCTACAAAATATTATTTGTATCAATGTATCTGCTTTTAACTCTGCAATAATTTTTTTAAAAAAGCAAATACTGATTTAATTTTATTCAAAACTCTTCAAACGTTTTCTCTTCTGCATCGATTTTTTTTCAAGTGTGTCTGCTCGTTTTTGCCATCTTCTGACTGCTTTGATATTGAAAACAAAATAGGAAAGATGGTTGTTCCCTACTATAATATTCTACTACTCAGAAAACCTACGGAGAACGGAAGTAAACTCTGTTCTTCACATTGGCTAATAACTGATTCATCTCCATACATTTCTCTACTGCTCATTTTCCCTGATGCCAAAATTACACAAAGATTACAGCTCCACTTAAATAACTCCCACTTATTTTCATAGACAGTCCGAGGAGAACTATAATCTTCTCAAGGATTCTTTAAAAGGTCTCATCCATTCCCAGGCCTTGAGATATGATCCAGTACATAGGATGTATCAGGACTTTACGCCTGGAATCAGTTATTTTAACAATGGAAGCAAACTTGGAAATCTACCAGCCCCGTATCCTCTTTTTACGTGCACAGAAACTAAGACCCAGAGAAGTTGTACTGTATAGACAAGAATTACTTCACAAATCTATGTGTATGTATCATCTATACTGCTTAAATTTTTATAAAGAATATCACATGAATCGTCATAGATGCTAATTAAGGGGATCTTGAAGAGAAAACTAAGCGGTTTTTTTTATAACACTTGGCCCTTTTCAATTAATATTTTTAATCTTAAAGGCAATCTTTATGGCAACACAAATGATTTTATTTCCTAGTGGAGATGATCTTGTTTTGAAACAGCGCCTTTATTCCAGGCTCAGATGCCGTGACCTCGTATAAGTTCGGTTTCCCACCCGGGTTCCCCCCGGGGCGGGGACTGCGGGCCGCCCAGGCCCCGCTCGCACCCATCTTGCCCAGTGCCCGGGCGGCGGCGGGGACAGCGACGGCCGCGACCAGACAATGTCCTGCATTCACTGCGGCCTCGGCCAATCACAGGCCGGCGCCTCCTGGCCCCGCGCGGCGCCACCGGCCACGCTCGGGCCGGAGGAAAACCTGGCCTCTGGGAGGCCATCAGCGGCCATCCTGGGGCCGGACGCCGTGCCCCGCCTGCGCCCCCGCCCGGAGCAGCGGGCCCGGGGCGGCGGACCCCGGGGCAGGGGTCGCGCTCGGAGCGCAGGACGCGCCGCCCCCTCCGGCTCGAATGCGGCGCTGTCCCTTTAAGACGAGCCTCCTCCCGGGCCGAGGAGCGCTTAGGCGGCCCCGCCGCGGGGGGCAGCGACATCCGGGCTACCGGGCTGGCGACGACGACGGCCCCTCGGGCAGCTCCCAGCCTCTGCGGGACGCCCGGCTTGCCGCGGCTGGGCGGTGGGCGGTGGGCGCTGCCGGGGAGGGAGGGGCGGGCTTCAGCGCCACGTAAGCCCCCGGCCCCGGTGAGCCTCGCCGCCGCCCGCCCCCACCTCGCGGTCGCAGGAGCTTGGACGCCAGGGCCGGCACGCGGGTCACGGACGCTTCGCCCTCGGGGCCGCGCTTAGCGCGCCCACGTCGGGCCCGCCCCACCTCCTGCGCGTGCACGGGGGGGCGGGGCGCCGAGAAGTCAGCCAATCAGCGGCGGCCGACCTGGGACCGCCCCTGGAGTCCTCGCGGGGGGCGGTGCGGGAGGCAGAACTTCGTGGGGGGCGCGGTGCCGGGCCGCTGGCGGGCGATCGGAGAGTGCGGACCGGCGGGGGAGCCGGACACCGAGCCTACCGGCTCCGACTCGGCAGCTCCGCGGAAGTGAAAGGGGGGGAGCGGCGGGGAGGGGCGCGAGCCGCGCGTGAGAACCGGCGCGGGCGGGAGGAGGGGGGCGGCGCCGGGAGCAGGTGGTGCAGCCGGAGGCGGGGGAAGAGAGGGGGCGGGGGAGGGGGCGGGGGCGGGGGCGAGCAGGCCTGTCCCGGAGATAGAGAACTAGGGATGGACGTGCCGAGTTAATGAGCGTGAAGCCAGAATCTGTCAGGGCTTATTTATGCAGCACGGAGAACTTGAAGAAGTTGTGCACTCACTGGTGAGATGCTTCCTAAGATTTTCCTCTGTCCGCGTTTTTCTAAAGTGGGTACAGAGTTTTGATATCTGGTAAAGTTTATTAAAATAGAAAGTTGATCACAATATTTTATCATGGGAGTTGGGGGCGGGGGAAAGGAACAAAGGGCATTTTAAAACTAATTTCTGCAATCTCTTCTATCGAAAATTTGAGAAAGAATGTTTCTGCAGTCAAGACACAGAGTTAGTTTTAAGGGTAGAGTAGGGGGTGTATGCCGACATGAACAAACCCGCACCTCGGAGTCTCATTTTCCTCACCTGCACAATGAAAGCCATGATCTCTACCTAATCTCGTAGATGTTTTGTCGTTCGATGCGATCGAGGAAAAGTGGAATATAAGTTTTGTCCGGTCGGACTGGAGGGACCCCCCCTGGGCAGCTGTCCTAGGCCACCTTCTCCCCCGAGATGGTCTCGTCCCCTCGCAGAGCGTCTTCCTGCTCCAGCCCACCTCGTCCTGAGGTGCCGGCGTGGGTAATCTGGGAGCCTCAGAAACGTCATCTGGGTGTCCTACACAGAGCTCGGCACCTCCCCTCCAAACCTGCTGCGGCTCCCATCTCAGCAGCTGCGTCGCTGCGGCTTGGTAGTCCACCCCTCACCCCATCGTCGAGTCATTAAACCCCTGGGCCCGCTTTACTTCCGTACTTCTTGACGCCTGTTTGTCGCTGCTGCCCTGCTCTGGCTTCCTCCGCGCAGGCCACCGGCGTCTCCCTCCTGGGTCACCGTAGTTACCTGCTCACTCATCTTCCTGTCCGGGGGTTTTGCCCCACCCTCATCTCGATATTGCAGGCGCATAGATACTTTATTGTAAAGTGTCGCGTGTGATCTCTTAGGGGATGTTTGTCACCCTCAGGATAAAGTCCTATCCCCTTAACTTCTCTTTATAAGGCCCTCCTAATCCTGTCTCTTGCTAGATCTCTCACCACCGGCCACTCTTCCCACCAGTCCCCAGTTCCAGCCTGCCTGAACTGCTTTCAGATTTTCTAAATGTGCCCAGTCCGTTCTGGCTTCTGCAGCCCTCCCTAGGCTCCTTTTCTGAGAGCTGGCTTCCTGCCTTTCCCTTACCTCCTTCCCCAAAGTGTGAAAGAACTAGGGGCGCCCACTGCACCCCTACCTCTGCAACAGACTATAGCCCTTTCCTGTGGTGGCTTGCCGTCCTGCCCTTCAGAGCAGGGGCTTTGTGCTGCTCAGCATTGTTCCCAGTTCCTGGGAACATCCTGGCAGAAGTGGTCGGAGCCGGTGACCCTTTTAGAATACCAAGTGAGCGGCACAGGGAACCGGTAGCCTTAGGTGTCTACTGACTGATTCATTTTCTATTGCTGAGTTTTTCAGTTTTGAATTCCTCATCTCTTAGTTACAGGTTTCTTTATAAGAGTAACATTTTTAAAAAAAACAATAGATTTTACTTAAACCAACTGTGATGTTTTTTGTCACAACTATAAATCTCTTTCAGCAGAAATAGTATGTGTGGTTTATGAAATGAAATTCATGACCAGTGGCTGCCGTTCAATGCAAATAGGCAGAAATGGGTTAAATGGACTCATTTGACACTCAGACTCTGAATCTAAGCTGAAAGTAATGCCCCAGTAATGACTGAGGGAAGGCATGGAAAGAAAGAGTATTAAGCTGAGAGTTTTGGTTCCTTGTTTATTATTATTACTAATTTTTAGAATAGCCATATGTTAAGAAGTTACTGATACTGACTTTAAAAAAACAAGTCCCGATACACCTAATATTTTTCTTTTGCTTACAAGAAATGTCAGCGTAACAAACTGAAATTCTCATTTCCTTTTGCTTGAAGCTCACAATACTAACTTATGTACATTTAGATATGTAGTATTTCTGAACACCGCCCTGCTACACACTTTCCAATGAAGTCCAACAAGAATTCTTTGTTGAGAGATGTAATATTTGGAGGGGAGGATAGGGGAATAAATCTTAACTACTGCAAATTGTTTCCCTGCAGCCTTACTCTGAAGGAGATCCTTGTTGGTTTTCTCATTACTGTACAACTAGTCTGTTGATTCTGTTACACCTTGGTGGAAGGGAGGGGAATTTAGTAAGAAATAAACATTTTTAAAAAGAAGGGAGGGTAAGCTTATTTCTTTAGTAAAATAAACAACAACCAAAAAAAATCAACAAAATTATATAAAAGTAAAAGCAAGTAATGTACTTAAAGTATTTAAAGGAGAAAAAACATGCATTATAATTATTTACTATTTCTACACAAAAATATTCTCTCAGCATGTATCATATCTGTTTATGGGACTCACCAAATGATTATTATAAACAAATGATAAGGGTTTAAAAAATGTGAGAGAAATGGCTTCTTTTGCATATGTCAGCTTGGGTAATTTTGAGTTTAGAAAACATTTTATGTACTGTGATTTAGTAAAAATCCTATATTTTACTTACATTTTAGCTAGTTCTGGTTTTCAGTTTTTAAAACTTAAAAATCTTGTTTCCAAACTATAGAGTGGTAAAAGATTGTTTAAAAAAAAAAGCTATTTATAGCAAAATATTTTTTACAAATAGCTATTTTAAGAGGGGATTCCCTGTGGTGGTCCAGTGGTTAAAGGTTCTGCATTTTCACTGCTGAGGGTGAAGGTTCAATCCCTGGTTGGGGAACTAAGATCCTGAAACCTGCACAGCATGACCTAACAAAAGTAAATAAATAAATAAAAAGAGCATATCTACAATGACATACATTGCAGCCTTATTTTAAAATGTCAAACCTGATTAGGTGACACCTTGAGAGAATCACACATTGAGGCTGAGATCTAAGATTGACGTTTGCTACATTTGTTGGTTTTAGCAGAGATTTCAAGCTGATTGGGCAGTCCGCTCAGCAGAGAGATGCAGACACTGAAGACCAGCAGGGAGCAAAGTGGAGAGAGGGTGGGATTTGGAATGAAAAGACTCGGGTCTAAATCAGAGAGCTTTGTACCTTCTGCAAGTTACATCTGAGACCAACGGTCCACATTTATAAATTAAACAACTATTTGTCATCTTGACCACTGCGTCTGTGAGGATCATGTGAGGATAATGTATCCTGCCAGCTTTGAAATACTAGATAACTTGTAGATCCTGCTACTGTCGTACACATTCTGCTTTGTCATTGGAGACATTTGATTTTCATGGAAATCATAAAATTATGTGTGAATTATATATGTGTGTGTATGAAAATGAAAATGTTAGTCCATGGAATGACCTCATGGACCGAAGCCCACCAGGCTTATCTCTCCATTTTATTCTCCAGGCAAGAATGCTGGAGTGGGTTGCCATTTCCTCCTCCAGGGGATCTTTCCAACCCAGGGACTGAACCTCGGTCTCCCACGTTGCAGGCAGATTTTTTACCATCTGAGCCACCAGGGAAGCCTATACATATATGTTGCATGTTAAATCACTCCAGTCCTGTCTGACTCTTTGTGACCCAGTGGACAGTAGCCCACCAGGCTCCTCTATCCATGGGATTCTCCAGGCAAGAATACTGGAGTGGGTTGCCATGCCCTCCAGGGGATCTTCCTGACCCGGGGATTGAACCCATATCTCTTATGGCTCTTGCATTGGCAGGCAGCTTCTTTACCACTAGCACATATGGGAAGCCATGTATATATATGTATATATGCATATATGTATATATGTATATATGCATATACACATATGCATATATGTATATATATATAAAGGAAATAAATTACTTTTTCATAAACTGTGACTCTTCAAGGAGGATTTATATATGCTTGCATTTATCTGTGGGTAATAGCTGATACTAGAGACAATTGGGGCACCCTGTATAAAAAACAATCCTTGTAGTAAGGCTACAGAGGATGCTGGTGTGTTTAGAATTTGAGGTGCTCTATGTAGAATGCGGGAGCAAGGTGATATGCGTGTGTGTGAAACTGATAAAAATGGATAAAGGAAAATAAGGCAGATAGTTAATGAAGTTCAGTGCAGTTCAGTTCCTCAGTCATGTCCGACTCTCTGCGCCCCCATGGACTGCAGCACGCCAGGCTTCCGTGTCCTTCACCAACTCCCAGAGCTTGCTCAAACTCATGATCATCAAGTTAGTGATGCCATTGAACCATCTCATTCTCTGTTGTCCCTTTCTCCTCCTGCCTTCAGTCTTTCCCAGCATCAGTTCTTTTCTAATGAATCAGTTCTTCACATCAGGTGGCCAAAGTATTGGAGGTCCAGCTTCAGCATCAGTCCTTCTCATGAATATTCAGGATTGATTTCATATTTCTTTCTCTCTTTTTTTTTTTTTTAAGTGTATTTATTTGGCTGCACTGGGTCTTAGTTGTCTCATGTGAGTCCTAGTTCCCTGACCAGGGATCGAACCCAGGGTCACTGCACTGGAAACATGAAGTCTTAGCCACTGGACAACCAGGGAAGCCCCAGTGAAGTAGATCTTATCTGGTGTTCACTGTCGAAGACCAAAGAAGAAAGATGCTCTTCAATGACAGTATTTATTTATTGTTATTTACCCATGATAAACCTGGAGAATAAAGTAGCAAAATGGCAACCAAAACATTTCTACATCCTTGTCTCCTTCACCCAAGTTTGAAATATTTGGCCAGTGGTTAATTATCCTAGGTTTGACTGAAAACTTACGTGCAGAAAGCTATGGTGCACATGATGTGGATGGTTAAAGGAATACAAGATGTATTTTCTCTCAAGGAAGAATTCTACAAAAGAAGAGCAACAGAACCCTAAGATGTCTGTGAATGAGCCTGCACTCTGCCTGGGAAGGAGGCTGGGTGGGCAACTTCCCGCTGCTTCTAAGGGACCCCAGCACCAAGCAGAGGAGGCATCTCCTACATGAATACCCTACACTCACCCTGGACTGTTCCTCCCTCAGAGTCTCATTCTCTTGGGTCCTAACACTATCCATTTTCTGAAGTTCCCGTTAAAATATAAATCTCCCTGGGAGGGGTGTTGCTGGAACTCGGAGCTAACACCCACATAATCTTTTACCTGCTCAGCAGAGATGGTTCTTATCCTGCTGAGAGCAAGGAAGGGAAGAAGATGGACACATAGAGCATGTGACCAGCCAAGGTGGAGAGGAAGGTCCCGCAGAGAGGAGACCGACGAAGCACGCTGACAGTTTTGCTGGGACAGTCCCTCCAGCTCTGCTTCTGTGCAGGTGTGACATCCTGCCGTGGGGTTCCGACCTCTGCCCTCAGGCTTTCAGACCTCTGCATCTGGCAGTACCCGTAGCTCTTGACTGTCTTGAGGTTCAGCTGGATTCAGACTAGTTTTGTGGTAAAAGTGGCACTAGGAGAAAAAGCAGTCTGAAGGTCAGAAGACCCCAGTTCTTTGGGACTTTGAGCTATTCAGACTTCAGTTGCCACATTTGTAAAAAAGGAATGGATTCTGTTCCTCTTCTGATCTGGGTTTCATCCTCTCCCTGCAAACTTCTCTCCCAGCTCTTTTTACTGTAATTAAGCCTCAACCACAGGTGGTAACAAACAAAACAAAAAAGAATGTGGTAGCTCCTAAAAGGTGGAAACGACCTGAACGGGCATGGCTGTGTGGATGAACAAATGTGGTCCATACACACAGCGGAGTAGTACTCAGCCTTAAAGAGGAAGGGAATCCTGACCCATGCTACGCACAGATGAGCCTTGGAGACATTATGCTGAGTAACGTCTCATTCTGTTTCACTGGAGGCCTCCGCTAATGCATGTTCTGGGGCTCATGCCTCAGCCTTGTTCTACACAAACAAACCTCATTTTTAACTGCTCTTTTTGCAGCCCTCCAAAAGTGCTATACTCCCTCGGTCCAGGTGTTTGCACAAGCAGATCCTGCTGCCTGGCACCCTACTTCTCCCCTCCTCTTTGTCTAACAGATCCTCCGTGTTCCTCAGGGCTCAGTTCTGAGAAAGCCGGTGCTGGCCCCTCCCTCAGGCTGTAGGAGGAGCCTGTGTGCCCAGGGCACCCCTTGCTTATTCCTCCCATCATACTTGTATTACGACTTTCCCACGAAAGGGCAGGGATTTTGGCGTCTTTATAATGGCATGCTCCCAATCTGATGCAGGCCTGACACAATAAATCTGTTGAATAAGTCACTGAATATACTTTTAAAAAATGCTTCAGTTCAGTTGCTCAGTCATGTCCGACTCTTTTCGACCCCATGGATTGCAGCATACCAGACTTCCCTGTCCATCACCAACTCCCAGAGCTTACTCAAACTCATGTCCATCGAGTCGGTGATGCCATCCAACCATCTTATCCTTATTTTTGATTTATTCCTTTATTTGGCTGCACCTGCATGCCTTTGTTTAGGCATGCAGGATCCTTAGTTGTGGCATGTGGCTTCTAGTTCCCTGATCAGGGATCGAACCTGGGCCCCCTACATTGAAAGAGCAGAGTCTTAGCCACTGGACCAGAAGGGAAGTCTCCCCCTGAATATTCTTAAGAACACATTGTTTTAAAAAAAAGTACACATTGTTATAGGTTGGTCTAATCAATGATAATTTGGCTTATAATTTTATTTCTGTAATTTTATTATCTTCTTATAAATATCATGGCTTTATCTTTTATGTTATCTTTTTTTACCTACTAGTTAATTTTAATACTTGACATGTCAATAGAATCAGGTTTGGCTGCACATAACAGAAAATTCTCAGATAACATTAGCATAAACAAAATAGAAGTTTGATCTCAATTCTGCAGAAGTTCAAGTACAGACAATGTTGGGCTGATACCCATTTCACTCCAAATCTTCAGGGATTAATTCTCTTTCAGCTTCACTTGGCCATCGTGAGGCTGTCTTTGTGCTCCAAGACAGAGGCCGGGCTGGAATCCCAGGAAGGAATCAAGAAAGGGTGTAGGGTGAAGAGCAGCTGTCTTTCTGGAAGTTCCTCAGACGCTCACATACAGCATTCTTGCTCACATACTGTTGGGCAGCTTAATCACACGTAGCTGCAAGGGAGGCTGAGATACAGTCTGTATTCTGAGCAGCCATGTCCCCAGCTAAAAAAGAGAAGCAATGAATATTGGGGGATAAGAAGAAGGGGAGGCCAGACCTGAGTATAAAAAAAATACAAACATGTCAATACCATAATCCAGTTGAATCTAGATTTCAGATGTATTCTTCCCAGCTCCTAATCTCCTTTGTCAAAAGGTCATGACATTTAGACTTGAGAGTTTCCACACTAAGCAAAGCCCTGAATTTCCAGGTTTTCCGCTTTTACCAGGTAATCAAAGAAGCAAGTGCTGTCCCCTTGTCCTTCGTATGGGGCTCAGAGATGGGGCAGAGCGGGGTGGAACTGAGGACTGTCAGTGGAGAAAGGGCTCAGTAGTAACAAAGGCAGGATGTCATGTTTCAACACGTCTGGTCTGGCCTCTGCATCTCCCGGGCCGGCTTGGCTTTGTCCTGTTTTTCCCTGGCTCGGCTCTCCAGGGCATGTTCCCAGCGATTCCCGACCTCCAGCACCTGCAGTTCCACCCCGGGAAGCTGGAGGTCTCTGCTCCTCCACGGGCCACTGTGGATGCTCCAGTCACCCTAGAGGAGGTATCCTCGGAGGCCACTGTCTCTGCCACCAGGCCAGGTGCAGATGTTGCCTGCAGGGGACCCCAGTCTGCACCACAAGCCTGCTCTCGCTTGTCACCAGCCACCAGCCCGGGTGGCATGCCCTCACTCCCTGTTCTCACTGTCACTCTCCAAGAGTCTCCTTCTGATCGTTTCCCTTCCATTATTTTTCCTCCCTCCCAGTGCTCTCTGAGGTCCTCAGGAACCCTGATTGCTCTCACGGCTTTGTCCAGCTTTCATTCTCCACCTAACTCACTGTCAATCTCCTCCCCTGAATCTCTAACCTCCGTCTCTCCTCTGTAGCTGAGGACTCTGCTCCAGGCTCAGCATCCTCCTCCCTCCTTCTCCGCAGGCTTCATCCTCTCCCCCAGAGCCCCCTTTACTGCGAGGAAAGCCACCCCTTTTTCTTGCTGCTCCATCCATTTTCTTTCTTTCATCGCCAAATAAGGAAAAACACTTCGCTTATCCATTGCTCCCAGTGATTCATCACCACTCCTAACCCAGTTCCTTGTTGTCAGGTGGCACACGCCACCTCTTTGTGGTCCTCGGGGAGCTCCAAATTACATCATCCAGAGAAAGCAACAGATTCCTTGATTGTAACATGACACTGACATCACTGCCCTTTCATTACAATTTTCCCTTGCCTTCCATCACACTACATGCTCTGGTTGTTTTCTCATTTTTCATGACCACTCTGATCAGTGGTAAAACATCACTGCTTCCTTGGTGGCTTGGACGGTAAAGAATCTGCCCGCAATGTGGGAGACCTGGGTTTGACCCCTGGGTCAGGATGATCCCCTGGAGGAGGCATGACAACCCACTCCAGTATTCTTGCCTGGAGAATCCCCATGGACAGAGGAGCCTGGTGGGCTACAGTCCATGGGGTGGCAAAGAGTCGGACATGACTGAGTAACACTTTTGCTTTTCTGACCACACTGATCAGTGATAAAACATCATTGCTAACAACTAATGTTTAATGACCACTTATTTTGTGTCAGGCAGGTCAGATGGTTTACATACATCATTTCCTTTAACACTTGTATTGACTGTTTGCAGGAGATGCAGTTATTATCCCCACTTTACAGATAAAGAAACTGAAGCTCATAGGCCTACAAAGGTCAACGATGTGCTCACAATAACAAAACCAATAAGAGTTAGAGCTAAACTGAAACTCGAGTTTGCTGAATTCCAAACCAGGGGGATGTTCTGGTTCTGTTCCACCTGTTGTCCCTCCTTTCCTGATTTCACCTTAAATATGAGACTTTCCCGGGCTTTTCTGTTTTGGGTTACCTGCTCCCCTGGGTATAGACACTTACCTTTAAAAGGAAATGTGCTCCCACAGAGTGAGCACTGCATTTGTTTTTACCCTATTATTATGGAATATTTAAACAGAGAGAGACAGAATTGTGTAATGACCCCTTACCCTGTCCCCAGGTAACACCACCCAAGTCCAACAGTCATCCACTGATGGCCACTCTTGTTTTGTCTGTGCCCCACCATTCCCCATGCCCCCCACCATATTATTTTGCAGCAAATCTCAGAAATCATATCAGTTCATCTGTAAATATTCCAGTGTATTTTTAAAATGTTGTTGTTCTTTAGCCTCTAAGTCATGTTCGACTCTTTTGTGACCCCATGGACTGTAGCCGACCACGCTCCTTCTGTCTGTGAGCCTTTCCAGGCAAGAATACTGGAGTGGGTTGCCATTCCCTTCTCCAGGGAATCTTCCCATCCCAGGGATTGACCCCATGTCTCCTGCACTGGCAGGCAGTTTCTTTACCACTGAGCCACCAGAGAAGCCCTTTTAAAATGTAAGGACCCTTTAAAAAGCCTTAACCATGAAAACATTAATATGTCTAAAAATGAAAAAGAATCCCATAATATCAGCAAATATCCAATCAGGTCACATTTCCTCAGTTGTCTCATAAAGGTTTTGAAGAGTTAGTTTCTTCTTTGATCAGATCGGGATCCAAATAAGGTCCACACATGTCACTCTTTAAATCTCCCTTAATCATTTGATTCCCCTTTTCTCTTCCTACACCCCCAGCCCCCACAATTTATTTGTAGAAAACACCCATTCCTTGGTGCCCAAAATCCACCCTGTGAATTTTGCTGATCATATACCCCTAGGGTTGTTTAACACATTGATCCCTCCACCCATCCAAATTTCCAGTAAACTATAGTCAGATGGAGAGGTGTGAGCTGATTCAAGTTCATTTTTCAGCAAGATGATTCCGTAGGTGAAATGATGTACTTCCATCATGAATATTGTTTATTTAGGTGGCTTCCAAGTCTGTATCCAGCTTCATTCCTTTATCTTAGGCTAACTGATATTGGCCATCATCTCAAAATCAGCATGTCTAAAAACAAATTTATCTTCCCCCACACAAGCTTTCCCTCTTGACACCTTCTCTGTTTCTGCCATTTCTGCTATCCTTTTAAATGTCTTGGGCTCCCAGTCTCAGGGCCAAATTTCACTCTCCCTTTGCTCCCATGTTCAGTCACAAAGACCTGCCAGTTCTCTCTCTATAGGGTGTTAGAACCCTTTCCCCTTGCATCCCCCACCCATTACCCTTGTCCAGGCTTTAAAAGTATTACAATACCTGCCCCCCCGCCCCACTGGTCTCTCTTTCCTCAGTTCCATTCCATAAACTGCCATTGGACCAAGGTCATACCCGACATCTTCCTTCAGTGTTGAATATTGGAGCATCAGATAAACAATTACTCAAGCTCTGGAATAGGCAAAGCTTCTCTCTGAGAATAATCCTGGATTTGTCTCAAGGGACACCCGTGGCCCCACACTAGGGGGAAGGCAGAGTTGCCTGTCCTCCTGGTGAAACTCTGCTTGCTAGCAGCTTTCTCTGCTTTCCTGGTAGGACATTCACACTTCTGTTTGTTGTTGTTCAGTCGCTAAGTCGTGTCTGACTCTTTGCAACCCCATGGACTGCAGCACACCAGACTTCCCTGTCCACTATCTCCCGGAGTTTGCTCAGACTTATGTCCATTGAGTCAGTGATGCCATCCAACCATCTCATCCTCTGTCACCCCCTTCTCCTCCTGCCTTCAATCTTTCTAAACATCAGGGTCTTTTCCAATGAGTCGGCTCTTCGCATCAGGTGGCCAAAGTATTGCAGATTCAGCATCACTCCTTCCAATGAATATTCAGGGTTGATTTCCTTTAGAATTCACTGGTTTGATCTCTTTGCTGTCCAGAGACTCTCAAGAGTTTCAAACACTTGTGCTTGTCTGGTCTTAAAACATATGCCTGGCTGTCGACCAGTAATACAGATCGCCAGCCACCTCAGCCCTGCTCTCACGTCACCTGCTGGCTGGCTCTAATTACAAGCCAAGCACACAAACACCCAACAACACAAAGAACTCCCAGTCCAGAGAGGGACGTTCAGAGAAAATTCCCTCAGAGACATGCTGTCTGTCTACTCTTCCAAGAACTTCACTGAGTTAACCAGTGACCCTCTGCATCCTGGATGCCCTTCAACCAAGAGGCTCTTGAACATTATCCGGCTGATAGTGCTCCTGCCCACAGCTCACCATCTGTGAGAATTCCCATGTGACACTTTCTTGTAAAATTCAACAAAAAGATCTGGTATTCACAGAGCTGGTATACCATCGTTTCCATAGAAAAAGCTATGAGTTTATAGTTTCCCTTTTTACGCTGTTTATCAAATGGCTCAGATAAAATTGCATAGTCCTTTTCATTAGAAATTTTATATTTTCTCCGAGGTCCTGATTTCCGTTTGTATTTCTCCTTTAAAAATTTTGTGTTGTTAATTATCTCATAAGCATCTTAAAATGCACTTTGGAATGATCCTGTGTGTGCATTAAGTGAATAAAATGCTACTGCATTCCTCCACCCAGGCAAAGGTTCATTGATTTACCTCATCTGACTCCCAGTTTACTTATTCTATACCTTCTGATGGGGACATTGCCCTGTTCTATGGTCCCACCAGCACCCCAAAGCCCACCCACCCCAGATACCTCAGTTCAAATGTCCTCATCTCACCATGAACCATCCTGACTCCCCAGCCTGGAGCAAGCTTGTCCTCCTCTGAGGACCTTTCATGTTGTTTGTACACTATTCATCCACCACTTCCCATACACTGTCTTTTATTGTTAGTTCTGTAAGCTATTTTTTAAATTAAAAGTAATTTGTACATACAGTAGAAAATTGAAACTGTACGAGACAGGTTGCACAGGAAAAAGTATCTGCCATCCACAATTGCCTTAGAGGCAATCATTATTGCTAGTTCTTTTTGTATCATTCCAGACACATCTGCGCATTTACAAACATATGGATATAGGCATATGCATACATATATGTACATATATGTATATATGTGTGTATATGTTTTCTTACAAATTCTTCTGTCCTTTTCTGCACAGCTATGAACATAACATACATTCTTCTGCATCTCGACTTTTTTTTGGCTGCACTGTGCAGTTTGTGGGGTTTTAGTTCCCCCACCAGAGATGGAACCTGCACCCCTTGGAGTGGAAGCAGAGTCCCAGCTTCTGGACCACCAAGGAGGTCCCTAGACATTTTTTCCCAATACAACAGTATGACTTGGCGATGACAGCACATCAGTCCACAAATATCTACCTCATTCTCTATAATACCTGTGCAGCTTCTGTTGTAAAGATAAACCTTAATTTATTTGATTAGTTATACATCATGGTTGATATCTCTCTGGCTTAATGTACTCTTTCTGAGGGCAATGCAGTGAGTATAATCACAATTAGTATTGTCCTCCACAAATCCAGGGTATGGTATCTTCCACATAGGAAAAGCTTAATAAGTAACTGATGGTCAACTTTTATCAGTAAATAGTCAAACAGAACATAATTCTACTTTATAGAAATGTTTTAGGAGTAACTTGAGAAAGTCTTATAGCATCAGCCTTTTAACTATGCCCATCTTTCAGTGACATTATCTGTGGTCTGGGCTTGACCTTGAGGCGTACTGTATCTCAGCTCATGAAGAGAGCGCTGAGGAGGCCTGAG